TAAGATTATTTAGACACCACTGACAAACGGTGAAGGAAAACATCATGGGGAAACCTTGACTGACCATTTTAAATTATAATAACATACATCTGTTATTTTAAAACATCACTTAATAAAAAATATTTAGATTTGTGCATTTTTAAGCATACGGTTTCAGATCAGCTTTCAAAACATATTGTATAGAAAAAAATCATATAATTTCATATTTTGTTCTATCATATTATGTACATAATAATATTTTTCTATTTAACTAATATTTACATGATACCAATATACAGTAATTATTTATTCAGGTATACCTAATGATTAAAATAAAATTTAATGCATCAAAAATAGAAAATAATATTAGACACGTACTGTCTAACATTATTCAGACACCACTGACAAACGGTGAAGGAAAACATCGTGAGGAAACCTGGGCTTATAATTTCTAATTATAAGTTTGAAATCGCCAACCCGCATTGAGCAAGCGTGGTGGTTAATGCTCAAACCTTCTCCGTGTGAGAAGAGGCCTTTGGTCAGTAGTGGTAAAGTTTCAAACTAATGATGATGACGACAAAATAGAATCAATTTGTCACCATACCTACTATGCCCGCGGGTGTCGTATACCCGACTAAGGGATTACACATATGACAGAGACCGGGCAGCAGCGCTCTCTGATAAACCTGAACGTGGACATTATGGCAAACCCTCTTATGTAGAGGAGGCTCATTGTCCAGCAGTGGACTGTCATTAGCTGTTTATCTTTATATATATAATTCTTCTGTGAGTGTGCATGTCCCTGAACTTCTCTCAAACCACTGGACCGATTTTGATGAAATGTTTTGTGTGTGTTCAAGAGGATCTGGGAATGGTTTAGATTCACAAATAAGCCCGGCAGATTGCGCTGCAGTCGATGTTTAGGTTATTTATCCTAAACAGCTGAACTAATTTGAATGAATTTTTGTTTATATATTCAAGTGGATACGCAGGACAACGTCTGTTGGGTATTTTTATATATTTGATGGGCCGTCGTTCGACCACTATCTCGCCTGGTAATAAGCGATGATGCGGTCTACGATGAAGCACGTCGACCCATAGGCAACCTATTCACTCGGGCCTTGAAGACACTCAGGTTATTATACCCTTCAGGAAACACAGACTCTGGCAGAGAATTCCACTCCTTAGCAGTACGCACAAGGAAGCTTGATGCGAAGCGCTTCGTGCTTGTAAGTGGGACATTTACCATGAACTTGACAACACGATTAGTGCAGTGGTTGGGCATCCAGCTGCCGCGCAACGTGTCGCGGGTTCGATTCCCGCACGGAGCAACTCTCTGTGTGATCCACAGATTGTTGTTTCGGGTCTGTGTGTGATGTGTATATGAACTTGTATGTTTGTAAACGCACACATGACACAGGAGACAATCCTAGTGTGGGGGCAAAGTTTTAATAAAAAAAAACCGGTGACGCTTCACCGATTGTCTTGTGGTACGATGATGAAATACTGAATACATGTCTAATATTAATTTATTATTGGGGCCTACCGTTGCTCACCAAATGGAGCTACTGAGAATCTCCCGATTTCAGTCAAATAAGGAATTATCTATTCAATTCAAGTGTGGGAGAGCAATGCCGGCACGAAGTGGGTCTTACAGAACACCAACGCTTGCGTTGTGTTTCGTCGTGTGAGCGAGGTTACCGGAGGCCCAATTACACCCCTCCAACCCTAGTCTCTCCATTCCCCAAAATCTTACAATCCTCAAATTCGCAATTCCCATAACGCCGGTAACGCAATTGTAACGCCTCTGGTGTTTCAGGTGTCCATGGGCGACGCCGATTGCTTACCATCAGGTGATCCGTCTGCTCGTTTACCGGCCCATAAAAAAATCTAGCGTCACATCTTTGGATGTTCAATATTTGACAGCTGCGGTGATTGGAAAAACACCTTTTTTATGGCATAAGCCGGTAAACGAGCAGACGGATCACCTGATGGTAAGCAATCGGCGTCGCCAATGGACACCTGGAACACTAGAGGCGTTACAAGTACGTTACCGGCCTTTTGGGAATTAGGAGTTTGAGGATCGTTGGGGTTCAGGAATTGGGGAGATTGGGGAAGGGGAAGGTAATTGGGCCTCTGGTAACCTCACTCACACGACGAAACACAACTCAAGCGTTGCTTCACGTCGGTTTTCTGTGAGGCCGTGGTATCACTCCGGTCGAGACGGCCAATTCGTGCCGAAGCATGGCTCTCCCACACCTTTACCTACATTAAGTCCATTTGGTGAGAAATAGACAGTAGCCAGTAAGACAGTAGCCCCCATCGATAGACTAAATTACCAATAGTAATACCCTATCATCGCTACCAACAAAAAATAATCTATCGCGCACAAAAATCCTAACATGATATTTTTTTGTATCATTTTTATTATAATTATTATTTTATGAATCCATTTATTTAATACTAATATGGCGTCATTACTTTACTAGTGAATTTTATAACTAAATAATAATAGTAGGTATTATATTCCAAAATAAAAAAATTGATAGCATAACTATCTAGTTTTTTTTGGACCTAAGTATAATTATGCGAAACGACAGTTAAATTAAAATTAAGTTTGGCCCTGTAGTATTTTATATTAAACTGACTACGCCTGCATGGTTTTTCTGACTGCTCGGCCTTTATTGATCGCAGCGTGATTTTTTATCCTTACTAATATTATAAATCGGAAAGTGAGTTTGTTTGTTAGTTTGTTCCACTTTCACGCCGTAACTACTAAACCGATTGCTTTGAATTTTTGGAGACGTAAAGTTAGAAGTCTGGATTAAATAATAGGGTACTTTTTATCCCGGAAAAATTGTAATTCTCGAGAGAAAACGAAAATATTGGTATAGATGGCGCTGTGTGTATTGGTATATGTCACATAGGCTACTTTTTATCCTTTTGTGACGCGAGCGAAGCCGCGGGTAAAAGATTACTAGTAATCGATAAATGGACTACCTAACACAAGATTGTTAGTGCCGTGGCTGGATATCGAACTGGATTACCGCACGAAAACAAATCTTTATAACATCACATCTTTTATCCTCGAAGAGGTAGGCAGAGATGCACGTTACGGCAGTTAATACCACTGTACAATATAACACCCACTTTTCACTATTTAACAAGTAGTTTTTTATTTATTGATGTTTTTGTAGTTGGATCGAGATTTTTTCACAAAAACCGAAAATGTTAAATATCTCAGAAACTAACCACTTTCGGACCAGTGCCTTTAGCCAAACGCCACTTTAGCGCTTGTCTACAGAGAGAGTAGAAAACTAAATGTATGGGGATGACACTGACAAGTGTCAAAATTTATGTCAATCTTATACTATTATATAAAGCGGAAGAGTTTGTTTGTTTGAACGCACTAATCTCCGAAACTACTGGTCCGATTTGAAAAATTCTTTCTGTGTTGGATAGCGCATTTATCGAGGAAGGCTATAGGCTATAAAACATCACGCTACAGTGGCATTAAGTGCTGTTATGTGCACCACTGCCTACCCATTCGGGGATAAAAGGCGTGATGTTATGTATGATGATGTTATGTACTTTTTACCCTGCGGGAACGCGGGCTAGGTTGCTGGAAAGGCTGAGTTTTGTTTTATATGACATAAGCCGGTAAACGAGCAGACGGATCACCTGATGGTAAGCAATCGGCGTCGCCCATGGACACCTGGAACACCAGAGGCGTTACAAGTGCGTTACCGGCCTTTAGGGGATTAGGATTTTGAGGATCGTTGGGTATTCAGGAATTGGAGAGATTGGGGAAGGGGAGGGTAATTGGGCCTCCGCCCTGCTGTGTAGGGAGATACAAGGAACTTAATAGTAATTTAACTGCCATAGCATCCTAACTATGACTAAGCAACTTGATGATTATAACACTGTAATTCAGTCAAAATGAACTACTGATACGCAGTCAATAAATATCACAATTTACACCTTATTATTATAGCGAAACGGTTTTATTTACCTTGCCCCGTTTGTTTGTTTGGGTCAAATTTAGTTATAGGGTAGATGACTAATTTTTATTTCAATGTCCGTCTGGTAGATTATTTAAAATCATTAGACACGTATTTTTTATTTTCTTACAGAAACGAATACTTTCGACGATATATTGATTTGAAATGTCGCGCGACGTCACTTCTATGTACATTTTATACGTAGAAACGACGTTTTAACTCCCACTCCTAAACTTTGATTCGTTTTATCTAAGTATTGTTTTATTATACGACAAAATAAAAAAATATGAGTCTAATATTTTTTCATTGTCTAACTGACGGACTAAATAGTATTTAATTATCATACCCTGTCATCATGCTGATTGTGATTTCACCCCCTTCCAGACGACAGATCGATCTGATATTTGGTACACACTCTTAATATTGATGACCATACAATATAATCTAATTGTTTCCACAACTACCGTCATTATGGATATCAAACGTAAAGTCTTAGTAGAACAGAGCTCATTAAAACCGTTTAACATAGAAAATATTTTTATGTATTACTTTACTTTACATTTTTAATATAATTATAGTCTTAATTTAGTCTTATATTGATGATATAAAAGATTTTTTTTCGTCTGCCTTATTCCAGTCGATTCAGGAGTTATTAGGCGAGGCATTGTCGCTGATTTCATAGTGATAATTTGATACAAAGTTCGTCATATAGAAATTATTATATCCAGTCAAAATGTTTCTCCTCTTATAATATCTTCTGATTCACTTCGTTGCGGGATCCAAGACAGTTGTTCATGTCCCTGGGACGTTGGACTTCAGTGTTCCGGTGTTTGCATGGTTGTATGTACTGTAAATCCTGTACAGCAGTACAGTAGTTGCAGCGGTTTTGAGAGGTCCAATAAAAAAATCTTTTACACCTACCTCCAAAACTGCCGTTTGAATCGGCAAACTGACGGTCGAAACGGCACTTTCGCAGGTATTACTAAATTACTTAATAAATACCTTTAAATTAGCTTAATATTATAAATTGAAGCCGCGAAGGTTGTCCAGTCGTCTCTGTAGTTCGTCTACGGAGTCCTTGTGTACGGGGTCTGTCGTGGACTTGCGTCGCTCTCCTCCGGGGGCCATTTGGAAGCCCGTGGGGGCTGTGGACTTGCCCGGACTTTCCGTGCTGGAACAAAATGCAAGCAAGGCACGTTATTTTTTATTTTCTTACGGAAATAAATATATAGGCATTTCCCCGCCTGCATCAGGATCGGCCATTGCGTGGGTATTTGGGCATACAATAAGATAAAACACCGAGTCATAATCATCACTAATCCAACTAACTTTATGAAAAATTATAAGATTGTGCGGAACTTTGACGGTTCGTCGGAGATGTCTCACACACGCCATTCATAACCGTAGTCTGGTTCAAAAATATGGCGGCGCTGTTCTCGACATGACGCTCCGTCAGAATGACTTCTGTGGCTAGATGTCATCCTAGTTCCAAAACAAATAACAGACGGTGCTGTGGCTACGCCGTCAAATACTTTCGACGATATATGGATCAAACAGAATTTTTCATTGAATTTGCCCCACCACTGAGCTGTTACTGACATATTTGCAAAATTGATGGCCGTTCTGTTATATGAAATGTTATGAAAAAATATAATATTAATAACATCACATTACGGCACTATTGCCCAAATAGTGAAACGTTACTCAATTATAAGTCGCGGTTAAGTATAGTTGTCTCTACAAATTCTTTGTAAAATGACAAAGATGGGACGATATTTAAGTACGACTTAAATTATAGTATTCCGACATATATGCCACTGTACAATGTGACACCCACTTTTCACTATTTATGTTATGAGTGCCATGTAATAGGGGGTGAGCCTATTGCCATATACCGTGCACAATTCCAGACTACGGCTACTACCGAGATTTTTATAAAAACCTATAATTACTTTGCCCAGCCCGGGAATCGAACCCGAGACCCCTCGCCCGGCAGTCGCAGTCGACCACTCGGCTAAAGAGGCAGTATAATTTTAATGTTTGACTGCACGGTTGGTGCGGTGGCTGGGCAACCGGCTGCCGTGCAACGTGTCGCGGGTTCGTCCCGCACGGAATAACACTTTGTGTGAACCACAAATTGTTGTTTCGGGTCTGGGTGTGATGTGTGCGTGAACTTGTATGTTTGTTAACGCACCCACGACACAGGAGAAAATCCTAATGTGGGGCAATGTTTTAATTTAAAAAAAAAATGTTACCTGTAATAATCAGTGCTAGCAGCGAGCGAGCTGTCTAGATTATCGTTGGGGTCCCTATTATATATCCAGACTCCGGCGCGTAGTTTGTGGTCGCGAACTTGGAAGTCAGAACTGTAGAGTCGAGGGGCGCTAGTGAAGTCTACGTCAAGTTGCTGGCCTGGAGAAAAGAAATATATTTAAACCAGCGGACCCAACAGACGTTGTCCTGCATATCCACTTGAATGTATAAACAAAAATTCATTCAAATCAGTTCAGCTGTTTAGGATGAATAACCTAAACATCGACTGCCGCGCCATCTGCCGGGCTGATTTGTTAATCTAAACCATTCCCAGATCCCCTTGAATATACACAAAAAATTTCATCAAAATCGGTCCAGTCGTTTGACAGAAGTTCAGTGACATACACACTCACAGAAGAATTATATATATATAAAGAATTATTTATAGTTCTTAAAGAACTTTCAGGAGTTAATAAAAATGGATAAAAATAACAATCTAAAGTGTGGGAGAGCCATGCTTCGGCACGAATGGGCCGGCTCGACCGGAATGATACCACGGCCGAGCAGAAAGCCATAGTGAACCATCCACAGCGTTGTTTCTCGTCGTGTGAGTGAGGGATTGTAAGTGAAACAAGGGTGAGGGTTTTAGAATAGAATGTTTCATTAGATATACAATTGGGGTAAACATTATTTTTTCTCAAAATATAACGGACCAATCGTAAGCGACCAGTAGTTCACGGGCCCGCCGCGTCCGAGCCGTGTCGGTGCTGTCGTCGAGGCGGCGATCGTGGACATATGATACTCATGCAGCTGTAGCCAAATACCATTTAGCGCTTGTCTACATGTAGAATAGAAAACCAAATTAATTATATGGAATTGACGTAAATTTTGACACTTGTCAGTGTCATCCCCATACATTTAATTTTGTACTCTCTCTGTAGACAAGCGATAAAGTGGCGTTTGGCTAAAGGCCCAGGTGTCCATGGGCGACGCCGGTTGCTTACCATCAGTTGATCCGTCTGCTCGTTTACCGGCCCGCCCGTGGAGACGCCCGGAGTCTCCTTCGCGATGATTGGGGCGTGAGGAAGTTCGTTCCCTCACGCGCTAGTATCGCTAATCTGCCTCGAGCAAGCGTGGTGATTAATGCTCAAACCTTCTCCGTGTGGGAAGAGGGCTTTGTTCCACAGTGGACATTTATATGCTGTTGTAGACTAACCTGGATGTATCCTATCATCCTGGCGGAGTTCCCCGAAGCTGCCCGCGATGTCAGTCAGTCGCTGGTTGTGGTTGGGTGACCATACTGGGTCTCTTAGACACTCCCCCGATGGTGGATACCATGGTTTCGAGGGTTTATCCTTGGTTGCTTTCGCTATTTTCGGGGATGGTTTCGGTTGAGGTGCTGTGGAGAAAAATAATAGGTATGATGACAGGGTAAGAAAATTAAAAATCTAATTAGTCCGTCAGTTAGGTAATGAAAAAATATTAGACAAGTATTTTTTGTGTTTTGTCGTATAATAAAACGATACTTAGATATAACGAATCAAAGTTTAGGAGTGGGGGCTAAAACGTCATTTCTACGTTTGAAATGTACATAGAAGTGACGTCATGCGACATTTTAAAATCTATATATCGTCGAAAGTATTCGTTTCGGTAAAAAAGAAAAAAAAAGTGTGTTAAGTTTGTAAATAATCTACCAGACGGATATTAAAATAAAAATTAGTCATCTACCCTATTGTAATCGCCATGTGAATTTCAAAGTATGGGGATTATAAAATCTTTTCTACGCTTATAATAGGAATGGTTTTATTAAGTAATGGGACTTCTTGTGGATACTCCCAAGCTGTCTACCAACTTTGGGGATTATAACATGCTACCTGCCATTCATATAGAGTATAGAGAATGAAATTAACTCTTTCATAACCACTGGGCATCTTGTTGTTACCTTAAGCAGCCTGCCAACTATGGGGATTATGACACACGGGACTCTCTTGTATCTTCTCTAGACATTTTTATAGCATTGAACCTCCCCAACCACCCAAAACCATCTGCCAACAATGGGGATTACTCACCATCACCTTCAGCAACGGCGATCCTCTCCCTTCTCTCTCTAACCTTGGGACTGGCATCATCTAACCCCAACTCGTTCAGTTCAGCCAACATCCGTTCTTCACCATCAAAGACAAACTCTCGTTCTGATATCTTCCGCCTTGGTATAGAAGATGGCGGCGATGGGAGTTTTGGGGCTGTAATATAAATGACACAAGCTTTTAAAAACATCAAACACTAAAATTCAATATGTTTTTCGAACTGTCAAAAACGACAGTTTACTATGAATTTTGTACGAGATTGTGTATTGTGACGTCACGTTTTTTAAGAGAGAAACAGCTTAAATTTCTTAAAAATTTGCTGGAAGAATACTAAAATTAAGTTGGTTTCAAAAATCAATTAATAAAAGTGTGATTATTTTTTAATATTTTATGTATTGAACAGTCGAAATAATTTATTTTTGATGAAGGCAAGTACCCAATTAGAGACTAAAGTCACTAACAAACATTGGACTTCTAACTCGTTCTTCTACATAGGAATCTACACTTTGGAACGAGCAAATAGAGCAACTAGAGGACTCTCTGACAGACTGACACTTTTTAATTTGTATGACGTTCAAAAGCGCCTGATATAGGTCGATTAGAAAAGTAATTTTACATATCCTAATTATGAAACCCGCTGCGAGTTGAAATTATGGGCCGTCCATAAATTACGTCACACGTTAAGGGGTACCCCTTGAGTAGGGGGGTGAGGGGGTCGACGAAGTAGGATCCTAAACTTTGTGATGTCACATTTCAAGAACTATTTATTATAAAGCACGAATTATAATATTGTATTAACGTTTTTTATTTTAAACGGAGAAGGACGGGGGGAGGGGCAAAAAATCATGAAATTCGCGTGACGTAATTTATGGATGACCCCTTAGTCGAGCAATCCTCAAACACTTACGTGAATAAGTCGTGGTAATATAAACAATGTATGTCTTATGGCTTACACGCGTAAATCGATTAGTTTCCGTATATCATGAATAAATTAATACTTAAATAATAACAAAACTCACCCTCTTTCCTCTCCTCCTTGCCCGGCGTGCCACCGCCAGGTGCGCCGGGTCCAGCGAGGAGTTCCGCCAGTTCCTCCTCCAGTTCCGCAGCATCAAAGTCATCTATGTTGGTGCCTAGTGCCTTCTCCACTTCGCTGTATTGGTCCATTACCTGGAAAAATATGATTTGTTATTAACTCGTCGAGTACCGGTTTTATAGACACAATTAAAGAACAATAGGTCGCGGTCACCGGTGACCGCTTGGTGTTTGACAGTTTAAAAGGCTATTTTAACATGTTTCAATCATCCAAGTGGGGGGATTATGACATTGCATCTTATATCCATAGAGAAGTCTTTTTACCCGACTATTTACCAGTTATTATTGAAAGGCTATTTGAAACTGTTTTTTAACCCATTTGCCAAGTATGGGGATTATGGCAAATCTTTTGTTGAGAAAAACTCATGAGTTCTGCAGTGGATTGATATGATAACAATGTTGTATAACTATAAATATTAATGTGACGACGCGTCAACACTACGGGCATTGAGAGTGCAAAGAAACGTCAGCTGTCAAGCAAGAGTACACGTGTGTGGGGCAAAGTTGTTTTTTTAAATAAAAATCTTTATCTTTACTAATATTATAAATTGGAAAGTGAGTTTGTTTGTTTGTTCCGCTTTCACGCCGTAACTACTAAACCGATTGCTTTGAATTTTTGCAAACGTAAAGTTAGAAGTCCGGATTAAATTATAGGGTACTTTTGATATTCCCGAGGGAAAACAAAAGTATTGGTGTAGATGGCGCTGTGTGTATTGGTATACGTCACATAGGCTACTTTTTATCCTTTTGTGACGCGAGCGAAGCCGCAGGTAAAAGCTAGTACATTATATATTCGCGAGTAACCCGCTATTTTTAATAAATTAAGTATCAGTCTTACGATACCTATTATAGAAATGATAATGTTTCGATTTTTCGATAGATACAATAGAAAATGTAGATTCATCATCATCATCATCATCACGCCTTTTATCCCCGAAGCGGTAGGCAGAGGTGCACATTATGCCACTGTACAATGTAACACCCACTTTTCACTATTTATGTCATGAGCCCCATGTAATAGGGGGTGAGCCTATTGCCATATACCGGGCACAATTCCAGACTCCGTGCTACTACTGAGATTAAAAAAACCCAGTAATACTTTCCCCGACCCGGGATTCGAACCCGTGACCCTTTGCCCGGCAGTCGCACTTGCAACCACTCGGCAAACGAGGCAGGCGCAATGAGCAACGACGAAATGTAGATTCCTACACATTTTTCAGACCGAAGATTACCTCTACATTCAAATGCACCCACCTCTTTCAAATCATCCATTGTATCGTGTACGGCGTCCTCTTCCAATGCATTATCTTTCAAATTGCGTTTCATAGCGTCTGAACTGGTTCTGAAAAAACAATATAAAAATATTTTAGTTATTAGAATTAACCTATGGAGTTTCTTGCTCGTTCTTCTACATAGGATTCTACACTTTGGAATGAGCAACTAGACGACCAATTGACAGACTGAATTTTTTTTATATATCAATAATTTGTTTTTACATTCAAAAGTGCATTCCGGGTCTAATCGAGCAATCGGCGTCGCCCATGGACACCTGGAACACCAAGGCGTTACAAGTGCTTAATCCCAACAATTGGGATGTTGGTTAATTTGACCGAACCGGGAAACCAACCCAAGACTTTTGCCCGGCAGTCGTACTTGCGACCACTCGGCCACTTGCGTTTGACGTATTGAGTTTGACTAGTTGGCAAGTACATAATTGAAATAAATGATTTTGTTTTTTCCTCTAGCCTAAGCTAACATATACATAATCGGGATGATGACGGGGTATGAAAATTAAAAATCTAATTAGTCCGAAGTTAGGTAATGAAAAAATATTAGACACGTAATTTTTTACTTTATCGAACAATAAAATAATACTAGTGATAAAACGAATCAAAGTTTAGGAGTGGGGGCTAAAACGTCATTTCTACGTATAAAACGTACATAGAAGTGACGTCACGCGACATTTCAAATCAATATATCGCCGAAGTATTCGTTTCCGTAAGCAAATAAAAAATATATGTCTAATGTTTTAAAATAATCTACCAGGAGCGGACACTAAAATAAAAATTAGGCATCTACCCTATAACATGTCGCGGAGAACCTAACGGGTTACCGGGGCTCCGGCTCGAAGTGCAGGAGTAGGAACGGGGTGGTTTTTAGTCAGTAAGAGTCTGACACACCTCTCACCTCACCCAGGCGAGAGCAGTCATTCGATTATTTTCCGCCTTTACAAAAAAGTATCTAATTGAAACTGCTCTGAAACTAACAAGATACTAAAGTAAATCTTTCCTACTATAAAATGAAGCAGTCATTCGATGATTTCCCCCTTTAAAAAAGGCTACATATACACACCTGTAAGTATCAACGATAGCCACGTTGACGTGTACGTCTCGCATCTGTTGCAGCAACTGTCGCACGTTCTCCAGCGCGTTGTTGCAACGTTCTAGACGTAGACTAGTCTTGTGTTTGCGGCGAAGATGGTTTTTAGCCTGGAATAGTAAAAAGCATATATTAAGTAGGTGACGATTAGTCGTGGTGGCCCGGAGGTTTAAGACGCCCACTTCTCATGCATGAGGGTGCGGGTTCGAAACCTACCAACGGCAAGTACCAATGTGACTTTTTCCGAGTTATATGTACTTTCTAAGATTATTTAGACACCACTGACAAACGGTGAAGGAAAAACATCGTGAGGAAACCTGGACTTATAATTTCTATAATGTTTAAATCGCCAACCCGCATTGAGCAAGCGTGGTGATTAATGCTCTAACCTTCTCCGTGTGAGAAGAGGCTTTGGTCAGCAGTGGGCATTTATAGGCTGTTGATGATGATGATGACGATTAGAACAAAATAAATAATTTATAGGATAAGCCGGTAAACGAGCAGTCGAATCACCTGAGTAAGCAATCGGTGTCACCCATGGACACCTGGGACACCAGGGGCGGTACAAGTGCGTTACTGGCCTTTTGGGGATTGGGAATAGGGTAGACGACTAATTTTTATTTTAATATCCGTCTGATAGATTATTTAAAAACATTAGACACGTATTTTTTTATTTTCTCACAGAAACGAATAGTTTTGAAGATATATTGATTTGAAATGTCGCGTGACGTCACTTCTCAGTACATTTTATACTAAGAAATGACGTTGTAGCCCCCACTCCTAAACTTTGATTCGTTTTATCTAAGTATTGTTTTATTATACGACAAAATAAAAAAATACGTTTCTAATATTTTTTCATTACCTAACTTACGGACTAATTATATTTTTAATTTTCATACCATATTTGAGGATTGTTGGGGATTCAGGGACTGGGGGGAAGCCCTGTCCTCTCACGCCTATTTATCGAACCCGAGACCCCTTGCTCGGCAGTCGCAATTGCGAACACTCGGCCAACGAGGCAGTCCCTATTACATGGGACTAATAACATAAATAGTGAAAACTGTGTGTCACATTGTACAGTGGCATAATGTGTCGTAATGTGCACCTCTGCCTACCTAAATAGCTACAAAAAACTTACAGCCAACTTGTTTCCGACATTAAGCGCTGCTTTAGCCTCAGCCTGTGCCGTGGCGACGTCTCTCGCCAGCCGTAAGGCTTCGCCCTCCAGCCTCGTCTCTGCACACATCAACTTGACCAGAGCCTCGTCTGACTCCGTCACTGGTGACACTTTCTTGTCCGGTTCCGCTGTTGAAAAAGAGAAATAAATTTCACTAATACATAATATTCGCCCGGTGGTTTAAGACAGCTTCTCATGCATGAGAGTACGGTAAAAAATAAATCTTGTGGTCTAATCTAACGACCTTTTATATGTCAATATGGACATTCCAAATTATATATAGACTAGCTTCTGACAGCGGCTCCGCCCGCGTTCTAGTGGAATAAAAAGTCGCATATGTGTTATTGTGGTGCTGGTGTGTTATGTCGTGGTGACCTGTAGGTTTAAGACGCCCACTTCTCATGAATGAGGGTGCGGGCTCGAAACCTACCAACGGCAAGTACCAATGTGACTTGTTCCGAGTTATATGTACTCTCTAAGATTATCTAGACCAGCGTTTCTCAAAATTTTCAGCCCATGGACCCTTTGGAAATCAAGACCAGTTTTCACGGACCCCCCGTTTTTAAAAAGTCTGTAATCTCAAATCAGATTCTCCTTTGTTAGCTGTTTTTGCGGCCCTTTTGCATTTAATGAGCGATTTATGCGTGCTCCAGAGACGACACCGTGGACCCCCATATACTGGCGGACCCCTAGGGGTCGGCGAACCACAGGTTGGGAAACGATAATCTAGACACCACTGACAAACGGTGAAGGAAAACATCGTGAGGAAACCTGGCCTTACAATTTCTAATTTGGGAAACTAATTTTTTTTAAAACAAGTTTGGGATCACCAACCCGCATTGAGCAAGCGTAGTGGTTATTGCTCAAACCTTCTCCGTGTGACTCGAGGCTTTGCTCAGCAGTGGGCATTTATAGGCTGTTGAACTCAACACAATCTTACATAGGGTCGATTTTTCAATGCTCAGGTAAATTTTATCAGAGGATTTTTTTTATGGGGGAAAATCATCGAATGGCTGCTCCCGCCTGGGTGAGTCGGGAGTGTCAGAGTCTTACTGACTAAATTATGAGAGGAAAATGTCAAATGCCAATTTTATTCTACAGTTAAGAATAAACTGACGATTGAAAAATCTGCCCTTAAAATTATAAACGCGATAGTTTGTGTATTTGTGTTTATGTTTATCAATCACGTCAAAATAGCTGAAGGGATTATTTATAATGTTTTACGGCTTACTGACGCAACTGTTTGACGAGGAACTCGACTAGTTTCAAGCCATGCTAGAGGTTTATGCATATGCAGACAGACTCATGAATATTATCCGACCGCATAGACTGCATCATCACTAGGTAGTGGTCAAACGTCGGCCCAGCAAATATATAAATAAAGCATCTAGCATGGCTTGAAACTAGTAGAGTTCCTCGTCAAATAATTACGTGAGTAAGCCGAAAACATAATAATTAATTTAGTATGTCCCACGAAGGTTATAACTGAAGAGATCGGAATGAAATTTGAAATTTGGGGTACATTATAGTTCGGAGTAATACATAGGTTACTTTTTTAAAATGAGACCACGAGCGTAGTCGGTGGGAAAAGATAGTAGTGTGGGAGAGCCATGCTTCGGCACGAATGGGCCGGCTCGACCGGAGTGATACCACGGCCGAGCAGAAAACCGACGTGAAGCAACGCTTGCGTTGTGTTTCGTCGTGTGAGTGAGGTTACCGGAGGCCCAGTTACCCTACCCTTCCCCAATCTCCCCAATTCCTGAATCCCCAACGATCCTCAAACTCTTTATCCCCAAAAAGCAGGTAACGCACTTGTAACGCCTCTGGTGTTCCGGATATCCATGGGCGACGCCGATTGCTTACCATCAGGTGATCCGTCAGCTCGTTTACCGGCTTATACCATAAAAAAAAATAGTAATTGAATATGTTATTTAATTTATTTATTTATAAAGCTTCATGCACAAAACGAAAATAAGGTGGACTTAATGCCGCAGGCATTTTCTCCCAGTCTGACCTTTGGGTGATGCAGATAAGAGTTATTAGTAGGAGTAAGAAGCAAGCAACTATTTAATAGAGCAAATAAAATAGATATACTTACATATTTCAGGGATAAACATAAATAAACATAATTATAATATATATACCTACACACTTTAATTATTTTAATTATTACCTACGCTTGTGTCCAGAGTCGTGGGTGCGTTTACGAATATATGTAACCGCAGTATATTTATATGCAGATTCCACAAAGGCGGGTGGGGAGGGGGGGTTAATCTTACAACACATTTTGTAATAATTAGCGTCACAATCTTATCAGATAAGTTTAAAGAAATGTATTTTATTACTTTGCCGCGACTTCATCTGCGTAGAATAGGGTAGTTTCCTGAATTGTATTTTAATATTCGTCATTAATTTAAAACTTTAGACACGTATTTTTATTTCCTTACAAAATTAAATACTTTCGACGATACATCAATTCGAAATATCATGTGACGTCACAGCGTGTCACATTTTGTAGCACATTATGACGTAACGACCTCCCAGTCCTAAACTTAGCGCCATTTTATCTAAGTATTGCAGCTTAATACGAGAAAATAAAAAAATACGTGTCTAATATTTTTTCATTATCTAACTGACGGACTAAATAGATTTTTAACTACCAAATAACTTTATTTTTTAATTTTTCCAAAATAAACATAGCCTATGTTACTCCTTAGTACACAGCTACCTGTCAATAATAGTCTTGCAAAATCGGTCCAGCCATTCCAGAGATTATCCAGTACAAACAAACAGAGAGACAGACAAAAATTGTAATAAACGTTATTTTGGTATGTGTATCGTATGTATATTCATTTCATATGCATGTAGTAAAAAGCGATTATTTTTTTAATATTACAAATAGACACTACTTATTTGTTTATCTGTATAGATGTATAGATTGGCGTAAAATTGTAACGAACAAGCTTAAACAAGTCATGAACAGGTAGGGCAAGTACCAATGTGACTGTTTTCTGAATCTTATCTTATATCATAACATAACATCACGCCTTTTATCCCCGAAGGGGTAGGCAGAGGTGCACATTATGCCACTGTACAATGTAACACCCACTTTTCACTATTTATGTTATGAGTCCCATGTAATAGGGGGGTGAGCCTATTGCCATATACCGGGCACAATTCCAGACTCCGTGCTACTACTGAGAATTTTGAAAAAAACCCTAATACTTTGCCCGACTCGGGAATCGAACCCGAGACCCCTTGCCCGGCAGTCGCACTTGCAACCACTCTTATTTTATACTATTTAATTATATAAAGAATATTATAAATCGGAAAATGAGTTTGTTTGTTTGTTCCACTTTCGCGCCATAACTACTAAACCGATTGCTTTGAATTTTTGCAGACGTAAAGTTAGAGGTCTGGATTAAATAATAGGGTACTTTTTATCCCGGAAAAATTTGATATTCTCGAGGGAAAACGAAATTATTGGTATAGATGGCGCTGTGTGTATTGATAAATGTCACATAGGCTACTTTTTATCCTTTTGTGACGCGAGCGAAGCCGCAGGTAAAAGCTAGTACTATTATATAAAGCGGAAGAGTTTGTTTGAACGCGCTAATCTCCGTAACTACAAGTCTGATTTGAATAATTCTTTTTGTGTTGGATAGTACATTTATCGAGGCTGGCTATAGGCTATAAAACGAACAATAGGAGCTGAGCAGAGCGGGTGCAACCACGCGGAAGTATCTAGTAACACAACCAGCTAGTTAGTTATATGTATACGTCCGTAGTTTCTAAGATTCAGACACCACTGACAAATGGTGAAGGAAAACATCCAGGGAGGAAACCTGGGCTTATAATTTCTAATTACAAGTTTGAACTGACTTCCTCTGTGGCAGAGTTATCGCAATATCGACTGCCGGGCAAGGGGTCTCGGGTTCGATTCCCGGGTCGGGCAAAGTATTACTGGGTTTTTTAATCTCAATAGTAGCATGGAGTCTGAGATTGTGCCCGGTATATGGCAATAGGCTCACCCCCTATTACATGAGACTCATAACATAAATAATGAAAAGTGGGTGTTACATTATACAGTGGATTTAAGTGTCGTAATGTGCACCTCTGCCCACCCCTACGGGGATAAAAGGCGTGATGTTATGTTAAGTGTATTAGTTTGAAATCGCCAACCGGTAATGAGCAAGCGTGGTGGCGATTAATGCTCAAACCTTCTCCGGGTGAGAAGAGGCTTTTGGTCAGCAGTGGGCACTTATAGGCTGTTGATGATGATGATAACGACATTATGGTTATCACCACCTAAAGTTGAAAGTAGGGATTGTTTTCGATGCTCTCTCACGTCATTTGACTCTATGCTAGGTTTATTAGAGAGTGTAGCTGCCTGGTCTCTGTCAAAAGTGTAAAGAAAGAAAGAAAGAAAAATTTATTTGTCAGAATGTAGTTACGATAGGTGTTTTACCTTAATTAATGTCTCATACATTCCACCGAATCGGCGTACAAATATTACACTTATTTTCTACTTATGTATATTTATGTACTATTTATTCTACAACAATGTTCTTGCAATCTTTGGCATCGAGAAAATCTTTAGTTAAGTAGTAGCACTTATTTAACAGAAACTAAAATAATTTTGTTCTGAATGACGTTAAGTTAAGATATTTTAGATCATTTGGAAGCCTATTATATAGTGTAGTCCCTTACTCGGGTATACGACACCCGTATAAGGTTGGCTATGGGCACTTATGGGCTGATGATATAACTTACCTAGTTTAACAACATCCCCCTTCTTGACGGCAGCTCCTTGAGACACCAGGTACCCGAGTAACAGTTCAAATATCTCCCGGCTATATGTCCATTCACAGTTGCGGATCAATTCTTCGATGGTGCCCATGCGTTCCACTCCAGGAGGGTATTTCTGGAGCAGTTCTGTTGCTTGCTCCTGGAATGAGAAGGAAATCATTAAGTATTAGCTTGTGCCAACAGCTTTGCCGACGTCCCCGTGATATGAAAAGTAGCCCTTTTTCTAAAGGGGGGAAAATCATCGAATGACTGCGCCCGGGAAATTTTTATGAAGCCCCCCTTGCCTGGCGGGGACGAAAGGGACCGTCAGACTCTAACTGGCTAGAACCACCCGAGTCCTGTCTCGAACACGGGTACGAGGGTGCGAGAGTCACATTCTTTCGCAGCCCCCGAACTCATGGCGGCCTGCCTTGCCTCAAGAAGCACAGAGGAGTGAGGTCTTTTTTTTTTAAGGCGGGAAAATCATCGAATGTCTACTCCCGCCTGGGTGAGGCGGGAGGGAGTGTCAGACTCTTACTGACTAAAAACCACCCCGTTCCTTCTCCTACACTTCGAGCCGGAGCCCCGTTAACTCATTAGGTATGTGCTATGCTTGCGCATCAAGCTTCCTTGTGCGCACTGCTAAGGAGTGGAATTTTTTGCCAGAGTCTGTGTTTCCTGAAGGGTATAATAAACTGGGTGTCTTCAAGGCCCGAGTGAATGGGTTGCCTATGGGTCGACGTGCTCTTTCGTAGATTCCATCAGGGTTTACCACCAGGCGATATAGTAGTCACTCATTCACTCGGGCCTTGAAGACACCTTTTTTTTAAATGCATTCAAATACTTAATAATTACTAACATTATAAATCGGAAAGTCAGTTTGTTTGTTTGTTTGTTTGTTCCACTTTCGCGCCGTAACTACTAAACCGATTGCTTTGAGTTTTTGCAGACGTGAAGTTAGAAGTCTGGATTAAATAATAGGGTACTTTTTATCCCGGAAAAATTTGATATTCTCGAGGGAAATTATTGGTATAGATGGCGCTGTGTGTATTGGTATATGTCACATAGGCTACTTTTTATCCTTTTGTGACGCGAGCGCAGCCGCGGGTAAAAGCTAGTATATAATATATTACTCACTTTAACAGCACTCTCCAGCACAAATCGTTGCGTTGAATCAATAGAGGCTTTCGGCAACCCATCGTTGTCCACCGCCTGTCTATTAGGCATGAACGAAGCTACCGCAGTAAGGGCTAGAGCTGCGGGCTTGAATGCTAGCCGAGCACCCCACTTGACCCACCCTTCAGGTCCGTTGTGCAGAATTTGCTGATATTTCGATAGAGGACAGAGGTCTCCGTTGCTGTGGAAGAATTATATTTGAGTTAGTATTACTAAGCGATGATGCGGTCTACGATGGAGCACGTCATCCCATAAGCTACCTATTCATTAGGCAATTATTTATCAATCTATTTACAAAATATAAAACTTGGGAAGTTTGTCTTTTTTAGGAGAATTTAACAGGTTTTCATTAATGGTAAGTATTTTAAACCGGCCCTAGTGCGGGTCATGACGCGAAGCGAGGGGGACTGGGATGCCGTCTCCTCCATTTGCGAAGCAGTCATGCTAGCTAAAGAGGAGGCGGGGCGCGTGAGACAGGGAAGCGCTGCCACCTCACAACCCAGCCGTCGCGAAGGACACTCCGGGCGTCGGGGATCGCGGGACGATCATAAGCGGGGGCCTGCAGACGGCGAGCATGGGTGGCTCCGTACCCGAGCGGACGGCGCGTCGCGTTCCGCGCGTGCCTCAAACAGCCATCAGACTACCACGGATGGGGCCCTATAGGGCTGATGCCGATACGGAGCCGCGGAGAACTTAACGTTACCGGGGCTCCGGCTCGAAACGCAGGAGAAGCAACGGGGTGGTTTTTAGTCAGTAAGAGTCTGACACTCCCTCCCGCCTCACCCAGGCGGAAGAAGTCAATATATGATTAAAAAAAAGGTATTTTAAACATCAATAAGTTAATTATTTCCATCTCAATAATAATTTGAACTTTGAACTATTTATCGACCCCCAGGTGGGAAATCTTTATGAAGCCTCCTTGCCTGGGAGGAACAAAAGGGACTGTCAGACTCTAACTGGCTAGAACCACCCGGGTCCCGTCTCGAACGCGGCTCTACGAGGGTGCGAGTCATATTCTTTCGCAGCCCCCGAACTCATGGCGGCCTTGTCTCTTCCAAGAACTTTGAACTACTAGAGTTAGATTACAGGATAACAACTATTTTATCATATTCATGACTAATATCCAGAACAGGAATCCTTCAGAGGAGCAAAGCAAATAAAAATCTCAATTTTATATTATTTTATCAACAGCGAAATAAACATATTGACATGTGCATAATTAAATAACAGGAAAAGCCGGGAAATAAACATATTGACATGTGCATAATAGGTAATAATATTGCACATTAATATTGACTGTGTAGTATGTACAGAGTAGAATATACTATGTTTTTTAAGTCAAAGTCAAAATTGTTTAGTCTTTTCAATTAGACCAGGAAGGCCCATAAGTATAATAGAAGAATGAGCAAGAAACTCCATAGGTTACTCTTTTTCAATCAGGTTCACAATACAATTTTCTAGTTACATAGTTCTATTGGTTTGATTGTACGAGAACACATACACCAACATCCAGTCAAAGAGATCAATATAGAAAATAACCTTAAGGACAATAAATAATGCAGTCTGGAGCTGACCAGTCCCAGTACCCTTGTCTACACTCTGACAGATGTATATCTGTATCATATTTTTCAATTGCTATTTAACTCGTCGAGTACCGGTTTTATAGACACAATTAAAGAACAATAGGTCGCGGTCACCGGTGACCGCTTAGTATTTGACAGTTTAATACAATATTATAATTAAGTCTATCAAGCCTGGTGCAGCGATTACATCTATATAACTTTCTTAATTTTATAATGATTTGACATTATTTAAACAAATAAGTAATGACCAGTTTATATGAATTATAATATTTTATCTTATGGAACAATAGATTTGCCTAGTTTTAATTTCATATTTCCTATAACTGTGTGTTTAAAACATTAACCTATCTACAAGCAAAAACAGGTATTATACTAAGTCATTAACTGACTCTCCATGTGATAAATACGCATGTAAATTCAATGTTATTAAATCTACAACGGCCATTTTTATTTGTTTACACATAAAAAAAATACAAATGAGCGGGAAATGTCACCATAGAGAATGAATCCTGGCTGGGAATAGCAAATGAATAAAAAAAATACTAACCGATACATTTCTTCGACGACGATGTCCAGACAAGCGGGAGTTCGACCTTTACGATTAAAGACATTTTTCGCGTCCGCAGCAGAAACTATAGGTTCTTTCCTACTTCTGCACCACTGCCGCAGCATATCAGACCAAAACTTCATCTTCATATCCCAGGATTCAGGATTCGCAGCTTTAATCCTGAACGGAGCGAATAATGCATTCATCCGTACATCGTCAGACCAACACTGAGGCAGCTCAGCCTCCGGTATGCCACCTGGTAGACCCATTATTGATTAACAAAGCTATTTTGACGGTTCACTTTTGATTTTTGTTGTTCTAAAACTGTGATTTTGTAATAGAAAATGATAAAGTGACTTCCGCACACAATGGCGTGCGAAAAATTTTGACGTTTAGTCGGTGATACCAGAAGAAGTTTACAAAATTACCACTTTAAAAAAACGTGATGAGGTCGATTACAAAAACTAGTTATGAAAAACAATTGCTTAATTGTTCCCCAAAGTATTTGATTATCATGAGTCCGTCATTAAATCCTAGCACATTACTAACGACACTAGTTTTAGCTACCTATTATCATGAGAAAAATTGTACAAAATGTTGGTGTGATACGGAACGCGTCCAATATTTACCATTTGCAACATTAAACGGAGAAATGTCAAACGTCAACAAATTTTTTTCGTACATTCCGCAATTTGGACCATTTTTAATCTGTGTCAACTTTCGTGCAGCGTTCCTATTGTATTGGGAAACGGTATTTTCCTAATTTTCCACGTTGTTATACGAATAAATTGTTTGAAGTGAATCAAGGGCACATTCAACATTTCTCTGCCGGTAAGTTTTCCAAACAAAAATAAACCAAGAAACCGTTATAAATCCTATAAGAATCGGTTGGTCACGACACACATATCATAAAGTATCGTCTTTTAAATGCAAATTCCTCTACCAAATGAAGTTTCAGGTCTTAAATATTTCGTTGAGCATTTTTTACAAGTATATTACATCATATGAATGTGTTAAAACTTTATTTGTGGTTGTATTCGTTTCGTAGAGGACGAGAAGTTGTAAAACTGGTTTTGCCGATGTACTTACAGTAATTACTTTAAACTTTGAGCTCTAGTGTCGTTATTTACTTTGTTATTTTGGTGCGCAAATAAAAAACCCGACATTAGTATGAATGATTGTTACCTTGACCAGATATTATCAATTTAAAAAAGTACCTAAATGTTTTGTTATCTGTAAAAAGAGATTTAAAAAATATTCAAGATACTTTTTGCTACCAGCAGGAGTAGAACTATATATTTTTTTACTTTTTAATTTACTAATTTAAAAGAACTGCTATGGTCTATGATGACATTATTTGCAATATTAACTCACAAATCTACCATCTCTAAGTTAAAAATATAGTATACCTACTGTCCTTGTAGTACCTATCTATAAAAGATTATCAGTAAAGATAAACTCACTGACACACTCTGATTTTAACTGTACGTAGAATCATTTGCAGTCATTACGAATTTTCCAGAAAATAATAACACAAAAAAACATAAGGCACAAGCTTTTATTCAGCTTAGCATTTGTTTATGGTCATGTAAACTATGTGCATACAGAATTTCAGCTCAATCAGTTGAAAATTTAGTTGTAAGATTCTACTTCATACACATACATGCATGGCAACTAAATAGAAGCTTGTAAAATAACTAATTAGCAAAGTCAAAGCATTTATTTCAATTAAACCAGTTTGGTACTTTTGAAACGTCAAAAAATACAAAATAAATAATAGTCTGTCAGTCAGTCCGTCAGTGAAACTAGGTGAAGCTAGGTGCTCATTCCAAAATGTAAATTCGAATGGAGAAGAACGAGCAAGAAACTCCATTCGTTACTCTTTTTAATAAAGTATGTTCTACAATGTCTCTGATACATATTTCAATACTGTACGCATATGTAAGAACAATGCAAAGACACGCTTGACGCATTATACTAATAACTTACTACAATTAAAATAAATAAATAAAAATCTTAAAGTCCAACATGGTGCTCACATATGCATACTGACAATCCATAGAATTAATGCTTCTATACAAGAAAAGGAAACTCTTTGTTTCAATAAAGAAATGCTCGATGCCATAATAGCCTTGGGAGTATATTATGCTATTAAAGACCATTCATGTGCTGTGCACATAATCGTTTGTACGAGAGTTTTAAGTTGTTCTTTTATTTTTACTTTTTTAATGGTATACACAAACCATAGGCGTTACAAGTATTTTGCAGACCTTTTGGGATTAGGAATTTTAGAATTGTTTGGGAGTCATAGATTGGAGAAGTGGGAAGTAATAGAGCCTCCAGTAACCTCAATCACATGATGAAACACAATGCAAGCGTTTTTGCACATCGGTTTTCAGGCGGAGGCAATAGTATCACTCCGTTGTTTTCCCCCCACAAATAAAATACTTGCATTATTAATCAAAATCATCATGATCAATGGCCTATAAATGCCCACTACTGAGCAAAGCCTCTTCTCACACGGAGAAGGTTTGAGCATTAATCACTATGATTGCTCAATGCGGGTTTGCAAACTTATAATTAGAAATTATAATCCCAGGTTTCCTCACGATATTTTCCTTCACCTTTTGTCAGTGGTGTCTAGATAAGCTTAGAAAGTACATATAACTCGGAAAAAGTCACATTGTTACTTGCCGTTGGTAGGTTTCGAATCCGCATCCTCATCCATGAGAAGAGGGCTTCTTAAACCTCCAGAACACCACAACTGCTGCCACTAAAAAATACTTTTATTATTAACATAAAACTTAAAATAAACTACCTAAAGGTCTTAGGTATATTTTATGCAAATAGTAAAATGTTTATCTGTACAAAAACTAAAGACACTTGAAAGTCGAATGTTTTTATAAATATGTATCATTGTCAGTCCCTTATTGAAGCTATTTATTCATTTCGAAGTGTAGACTTCTGTATTTAGCAAGAAAAATATAGAAAGAAAAACCATTTATTACGCCACGACACACACAACAAGAATACAGGTACACATAAAAAGGTGCTTCGCAGCGCAAATATGCAAATTCAAATATCTTTATTGCTGAACACAGTATATTTAGATGCATTGAAAGATGTTAGATGAATGCATGTCCACCATGTTCCACCAATCAAGGCATGCAATTATAATTCGTAAATTATAATTTACTAGCTTTTTCCCGCGGCTTCGCTCGCGTCACAAAAGGATAAAAAGTAGCCTATGTGACATATTATACCAATACACACAGCGCCATCTATACCAATACTTTTGTTTTCCCTCGGGAATATCAAATTTTTCCGGGTTAAAAAGTACCCTATTATTTAATCCGGACTTCTAACTTTACTTCTGCAAAAATTCAAAGCAATCGGTTAAGTAGTTACGGCGTGAAAGTGGAACAAACAAACAAACTCACTTTCCGATTTATAATATTAGTAAGGATTTATTTGTTAAGGTTTCGACTGTCAATAGAAAATTGTTGGAAGGGAAGCAAATCTTCTGCTAACATCGGTTACCAGCACAGATATATTTAAGAAGAATTACATGACCATAAACTGAACTGACTCTTCTTTTTTAATATTTCTGTGGTTACCAGTGATTACCCTGGTGTTTAAACTGATAACTTTTATATTTCATTTTTTACTGCAAGAACTTCTCAATTTGAGTATTAACCGCTTGAATGCACCGATATGAGACACAATAGAAAATACATTGTGCCTGTGTCTGATCCACATTTAGACACATCATCAACAGCCTATAAATGCCCACTGCTGAGCAAAGCATCTTCTTACATGGAGAAGGTTTAAGCATTAACACTTGCTCAATGCGGGTTGGTGATTTCAAACTTATACATTACTAGCTTTTACCCACGGCTTCGCTCGCGTCACAAAAGGATAAAAAGTAGCCTATGTGACATATACCAATACATACAGCGCCATCTATACCAATACTTTTGTTTTCTCTCGGGAATATCAAATTTTTCTGGGATAAAAAGTACCCTATTATTTAATCCAGACTTCTAACTTCACGTATGCAAAAATTCAAAGCAATCGGTTTAGTAGTTACGGCGTGAAAGCGGAACAAACAATCAAAAAAACAAACTCACTTTCAGATTTATAATATTAGTAAGGATACGCCCAGGTTTCCTCACGATGTTTTCCTTCACCGTTTGTCAGTGTCTAAATAATCTTAGAAAGTACATATAACTCGGAAAAAGTCACATTGGTACTTGCCGTTGGTAGGTTTCGAACCGCACCCTCATACATTAGAAGTGGGCATCTTAAACCTCCGGGTAACCACGACAACGCGACCCGCGCTCGTTTAGACACATGACGGGTTAAATCATCCGAATTTAAGGGCTATAATAAGGAAGCCATTGGGGAAGGCCTATGTTCAACATTGGATGTCAAACGGTTGATATGATACAAAAATGTAAAAAAAATTGGTTGCCTGTAAAGTCGGTATACGGGCGAAAGTTTTACGTGACAACGACTTTGAGTGGTAAAATAATTTTAATGTGAATATTCATTCGTATAGTAGGAAGAAGGATGAAATAATTCACTTTTTATGTCTGTCTCTCTCGCTCTTAGGCGGGCTAACCATGCCCGAGTGGAAGGGACGTGTGCCTCTCACTCGCTCTCATTGTGAGCGCATAACGTGAGCGGAGCGTAACGCAGTTTCTTGAAGTGTCACCCGGCAAACCAATTTATAAGACGTTGTCACGTCAAAAATCATGAGATCGTACAAAAATTGATGTTTCATATTTAAAGATAAATATGACATATTGTTATCTAGAATTTGGTTTATTTATCTATTTGAATTATTAAACAGATCTCTTTAGCACTGTGTGTCAGTGTCTGATTGGTGTAATCTCAGAAACTGCTGCTCGGATTTGGATTGTCATACCTTTTGATGAAAAGGTCTTGCAAATGACATTGGTATGATTTATGAGGAATTTTTTTTATTCTTCAAAGGCAAAGTATTTATTTCAATATTATACCATAATTTTGTACTTTTGAAACATCAATGGCTTTTTTTAAGAGGGGGAAATCATCGAATGACTGATCCCGCCTGGGTGAGGCGGGAGGGAGTGTCAGACTCTTTCTGATTAAAACCCACCTCGTCCCTATTTCTGCTCTTTGATCGTGAGCCCCGGTAACCCGTTAGGCCCTCCGCGGCTCCGTATCGAGCATCAGCCCTACTAAGCCCCATCCGTGGTGGTCTGGCGGCTCTTTGAAGTGCACGCGATTCGCGACACTCCGTCCGCTCGGGTCGGATTATGATCGGGCGGCGAGTTACCTGTGCTCGCCGTCCGCAGACCCGTGCATATGGTGGCGGTGGCTGGAGTGCCGGACACTAGGGGCACATAGCCATGAGCAGCATCGTAAAACAGTTACGTGATAAGCTAGTAATCAGTCAAAAAAGGAATTATCCACGGTAAATGGTATTTTTTTATTTTAATGTCTATCTAGTAGATTATTTAAAAACATTAGACACGTATTTTTTGTTTTCTAACAGAAACGAATAGTTTCGAAGATATATTGATTTGAAATATTGCATGACGTCACTTTTGGGTACGATTTAAACTCTGACGTAGCTACCTCCCACTCCTAAACTTTGATTCGTTTTATTATACGATAAAAATACGTATGTAAACTTT